GACTTGATGATCTGCTCAGGTCCCTTCCGACCCTACCAACTATGAAACTATGAATGCTTGCATTATACAACCTTTTCAACATCTCTAATGTTTAAACTCTGGATTATATGATGAACTCTTAGAGATCTGGTTTCACAGCTTTTTTTTAGTTTAAAGGGTTTTTTTTTTTTCTTCCTTTCTTCCAAATCATTCTGTTTCTACAGGTTTTGATATAGAAGCTATGGAGATTTAATATTTGAGTATTTATTGGAAGTATGTCTAGACAAGTGAGAAAAGTCATAATTCCATTTTCTGGAAGATTAAAAATCCATTTTTCAGTAAGTTTTACTTGTCTCGTAGAAATAAACTGACATTTAAAAACCAAACAAAACCACAATTTGAAGTATTAATTTTTCATGCCTCTTCTTGTTATTGTTTGATTTGCTCGTGTTAAACCACTACATCTTACATACATCCAAATAAATTATCTCTGTCCGTAATACCATGACTGAGTGATTGCACAATATTTACAATATGCATGTAATCAACAGTCTCAAAATGGTTTCCTTTAACAAGAATAAGACTCATATTTATGCTTTGTTTTTTATCATTTTGTCTTTCAGTTGACTTTAAACCTCATGCCAGCATGGACACTGTCCATCACATGTTACTCTTTGGATGTAACATGCCTTCTTCCACTGAAAATTACTGGTAAGAAATTTGGGCTTATATTAATTCTTATAGCTTAATTTCCCATCAGTGTTGACTACAGTTGTATACAACTTTGGAGGGTCCCATATTTTAATTAATAAAAAATTGAGAAGGGAAAAGAAATTATAGTTTTCATTCCCACCAAACTTTTATATTTGAAGGTTTTGGTAAATGTTTAATACAGCTGTAAATCTGATGTATTTGTGTAATAGCAGTGCTATGAAGATATACTGTGAGAACAGCAAATATGTTTTTGTCAATCGGATGAAGGTGCATGAACTTCTCAGGTCTCAGCTATACTTGAGAAAAAGTAGTATTTATAGTACCAAGTAGTATTTATAGATGTGAATTAGACATTAAAATTGCAGTTTTGAATGAAAATACCTGAGGAATTAATGTCTTTAAGTATGGTCTATAAAGCTTATTTATAAATGAAGTGTTCGCTTATTTACGCAACTGTCAGATTTTAAAGTTTTTTATGTTTTATTTCACTACTTGTGGTTCATGACATGCACCTTAATTTTTAAAATTTGATCTTCTGTAATCCTCTCTACTCATCTTTCTCTTTCCCTTCCCTTTTCCACTCCCCTGAAACCCTTACCCAGTGTGGTCTAGGAAAGTCGTAAAAGGATCAGAAAGATGAGGGTCCAAATTGTTGTCAATGCTGCTCATTGCTTCCTGTGTTCAAATTACTGAATTATTTTAAATCAGAGCCTTTAAAACTGAATAGTAGTCAGCTGTACAGAGCAAGATCTTTTTTCATACTTAAAGTTTAGTGTCATAAATTTCAAGCACCTAAATAAATGGCCTAATTTTCAAAGGCATTGAGCACCCTAAAGTTGCCTTGGAGTTATTAAGCAAGTAATAACTATGCAGGGAAGTACGAAAAACATGATGTGATTGATATCCTGGATGGTCTCCATTTTGCTTGGTTTTAGGATAAGGATATAAAAGGGTTTTTCCTCCTTCTTCCCCTAATAAAATTTAAGTTGCTTGCAAACTTAAATCCTGATGATTCTCCTCTAATTTCTAAATATAAATCAGATGAGGTTTAGTGGAGGGAAAGGGGGGCAGGCCAGTACTTGGAAATAAAAGAAACTAGGAGAAAAGGAAAATTTTCCATTTTTAAAATAAATGGATGTCTCTTTCTTTAAAAATATATAAAAAGGAAAAAAAAAGTTCAGATTTTACTTCTGATTTTATTTTTCTGTTCAAATCATGGCCCCTGGAAGAAGCTTATACAGATAATAGTTATAAAGTCATCCAAATTCAATAATTACCATTAGTTAATCAAAATTTACTTCATGTAACACATTCCCTGAACTGCAGAAGAACTTCAGATCCTTCTTCAAGTCGGACTTGGAAAATGTCTGAATAAAGAGTTTGATCAGAAAAAAACAAGCAAAGCATGCGCTGATAGGACTAAGAGCCCCTCTTCATGTAGTTAAAGGCACAATGGAATCTAATGTACGATCCGCACCATCATACCTTGAGCCATGCCACATGTGCATGGCAGGAGGCGTGATTGTGGAATTGTGCATTAGATTCCATTATGCCTTATTTCTGGTGCAGGGGCGATCACCTGAAAGAAGCAGCTTCCTGCGACTGAGAGCCCCTCAGCTGACCCCTAGGGCTTGGAGATCGTGATAGTAACCCATGACTGCTGGGACCTAGAATTCCGCAGCTGCACACGGTGCAGCCCTGTGGCTGGGAGCCTGGTCAGCTGCTGCAGCAGACCCTGCTACATGTGCAAGTTAAAGTTGAAGAGCAGCCAGCTATAAAGTTGTTATACATTTTCCAGCAATAGCTTTATAGCTGCTTGGACCTTTTTATGGTGGGATAGTTAATTTGCATGTGTAGCCAGTCTAAATTGATTGTGCAGTTAACCTGGTAATTGCGTGATGCATGTAATGTGTAGAGAGGGCATAGGAGTTTGGGAGGTAAGCAGAATTCTGCACCAAGAAGTCTCCATTGAGGAGACTCTACTTAGACATTCAAATCTTCAAAAAGGAAGCACAAAGAGTGCTTTTAAGCTGCATATAGTTTTAATTCTAAATAGTTCTTTTAGCTCAAAGTAACACCATCATTTGCACTCAGAAATGAATTGGAATTTTAATGTGGAACACAGAAGTTATATGATCAGTGGATGAAATAACATCAAATATGCTGGAAATAATGTTGAATGTGCTGTTATTTCATTAAATGAAGTAATATTGAATTGAACTGGAAAACAAACAAATTAACTTATGCAAAGTCAGGGAACCCATATCAGAAATGACTCTATTCTTAAATTCCCCACTGAAAACAGCTCCTAAGTCAGCCAGCGCAAGAGCCAAAAACACTTCATCTCTAGGTGCCTCTGCGGGGTGTCAGCTTGTTTGTCTTGTGCTTCATCCCACAGTTAGCCTGTTTTCCTATTTTGTAGTTTCCTGTGGAGGAGGTTCTGCAACCTCTTGCTTTTTCTGTTCTTCCCATTTCTCTCCTCCTTTCTGGTACTTAAAGGATGATAGTTTTCCTAAATGCTCACCACAGTTCTATACAAGGCAGGGAATGGTGGCATCTTGGAAACTAACATGAATTCACAGCATCTGATGAAGTAGGCTGCCACTTGTGAAAGCTTATGCCCCTCTGAACCAGTTACTTTCTCAGGTGCTACCGTGTCATGCCTTCAGACTAAGACAGCTAGCTACCTTTTACAGTTCTCTAGGTCAGCAAATGGCTTTCTGGCTTACATTGCTACTTGCCATTTTGCTGGTGTGTGTGCAGAAGTGGCCTGTTAGGTGGTTGCAGGGGTACTATGTGAAAAAGAGGCTTGAGTAGAAGGAAAAAAGTGATCTGTGGGGGGGAGGCAGGGGATGATCTCAGAATAGTCAAATGACAGTTTGCATTTATGAAAAAAAAAAGAAAATGCTGCAACCCTTGGGTTCTGAAGCAGTATGAAAGAACTAAGGCCCTCTTTGCATGTAATAGGTATTGTGCAATTAACTGGTTAATTGTGCAATCACCTTGAGACCAGCTACATGTGCAAAGTAGTTATCGCACAATACAAAACTCCAGCCAGCTATAAAGTTAGACCTCAAAAATAACTTTTATAGCGGGTTGTGATAAAGCTTTATTTTGTATGTGTAGCAAGGTCTCCCCTGTAGCTGGGAGTGCGATTGTGGGGATGCTGCATTAGAACCTATCATGCCTTTACCTGCACATGTGCGGGGTTCTAAAAGTTAAACCTGTGTTGAAAGGGAAGCTGAAGAGAGAAGACCTAAGGCAGTTATTTTAAATGTGGTTATTTCTTATTGATAACTAATGTGAATAGGACAATAGGGTGCTTTTTCAAAATACAGTATATGAGAGTTTAGTTCTTGTTTGTTTATTTTCCAGCCTTTTTGAGCATCCATATAGCTTCTCAAAATGTTTTGACAAATTTTTTAACACAGAACAGAAAATTTTCTCAAATTTGAAAATTTGTCTCTCATATTTATAAATCGGGTCTCCTGAAAATTAGGTTACAGTCTTGTCTTAAATTATATGTTCAAGTGAAACTATATTAATGAAAGCTAGGAATATCTATTGATTTTTTTGTTTGTTTTTCTTTCTCCAATAGACAGTTCTTTGGCCTCTGTAACTATTCCTTCTTCCATTCATTTAAACATGCTTACATGAAAAGCTACCATTTGACAGGTTTCCCTCACTTTATGCTGTACCTGCGTTCCTGGAAAACAGCACGTAACTTGAAATCGCATAAACGGAACCCACTTGACAGTGTAACAAATAGGGATACATTCCAAGACCTCGACTGTACTGACCCCCAGACCCATTTCTACCACTTTACAGACAATTTTGGTACTCACCAACAGCAGTCAGTATACACAAGCACAGGTCACTGTCATAAAGGGGATGGCAACTACAGAAACGTGTCGCAGACAATGAGCGAGGAGCACAGATCCACACAGGAGACTATATTTTGTTGCGCATCACTCACACAACACAGTGCTCTGCACAAAGCAACTGACTACGGACTTCTACCACGCTGATCACCTAAGAGTGAATTTACCTTGCATATAAGAAATTTTTGGTATAAAAGGGGTCATCGCATAAGAATGAATTTGCACATGCAGAACCCGCATAAAGCAAGAGACACCTGTAATGTGAAAAAGAGATGCTTGGAATGAAATAGATTTTCAGGTATGGTCTTTAGGGTGTAGCTTTTTCAGTTAGTTTGCACCTACACATATAACATGGCAGATCATATTTTAAACCAAGCAGATTGCACTGATTGTGTTTAGCTGTTTGCATATAAATGGAAATCATATTGATTTAGATGACTTTGTGAGCGTCTGAAGCTCTGATGTAGTCCTTTTATAGATTGGCCTGGTGCTTAGGTCAAAATAGTAGAAATACTGTGAGGAATCAATTTTCTCTTCAGATTTGAATGAAGGATTTTCTAATTATGAAAGAAAATTTCCTTTGGATGTTGTTTGGTCAGTAGCATGTTTTTCTGACTCTTCAACTACTAGAAGAAAATGTCATGACACTGCCAAAATAAGAACTGCCATTTACTGGGTCAGACCATGGGTCCATCTTGCGCAGTATCCTGTGTCATATAATGGCAGAGAGTAGATGCTGAAAGAGAAAGTGAACAAGATGTGATCAGGGTTTTTCCCTTGTTCGTCTTTTACTTGCAGCCTCCAGGAGTTACGATCTAGGAAGTTTTGATTCAGAGGCTGCATCCCTGACTCCCATGTTCAATAGCTACTGATGCACTTTTCCTCCAAGAATTCGTCCAATCCTTGTCTGGATCTGGCTAAACTGTCAGCTTCCACAACGTCTTGTGGAGATGACTTCAACACTTTAATTATACGCTGCGTGAAAAAGAACTTTCCTGTTAGTTTAAAACTTACTATCTACTAGTTTTATTTTACGACCCCTACTTCTTATATTGTGAGAGAGAGTCAATACTAAATCCCTATTTACTTTTTCTTCACCATTTTGTATTTTGTAAA